GTATATGTATATGTATATACATATACATATACATATACATATACATATACATATACATATACATATACATATACATATACATATACATATGCAAGCTCTTCATCGTTGTGAGAATGTTAATTCTTGCAAATCAAAAACAAGTATGGCGATTGTGTTTATGTGATGCTCCAACAAAAGGAAATAAAAATAATAAAAGATGTGGAAGCCATCACCAGTAATCCGTACAAGAACACATCCCATCTCTGAAGTGGTGAAACCGGTTCCTGTCCCTGACGACGATGTCCCTCTGAAACACCTTGGATATCAACTTGGTAGCATCATGGCAATCCCAACACACTCTAAGGTTCTTCACGATCCTGATGCTAGCGCCCTCTCCCGAGGCAATCAGCCCGAAGGCGATCGCCAACTTCTCACTGTGCCAACACACAGCATCCTCCTTCTCCTCTTCCTCTATGTCGAACATCACCGCGTTCGTTTTGGCCGCGTACCCCGCCAACCTAAGCCTCCTCGATATCTCTCGCAGCATCACCTCGATCTCCCTGTACCTGGGATGTGAGTTGTCCCCCACAAAGAACTCATGGACCTCACCACCAACCTCTATCACGCTGCAACCTGGCTCCTTCCTCACACCCTTGGCCTTCATCGACTCCCTGACATCGTTAACTCCTCCCCAGTTCCTGGATTCGGCGTAGATATTAGACAAGAGGACATAAGCCCCATGGTTCTTCGACTCCATCTCCACCATCTTTTTCATTGCATACTCGCCCAATTCAATGTTCCTGTAAATTCTGCAAGCGTTGAGCAAAGCTCCCCAAGCTCCAGCATGCGGCTCAATGGGCATCGAATTGATAAAATGGACGGCATCGTCCAACCGCCCAGCTCGCCCGTACAAGTCCACCATGCAACCGTAGTGCTCGTGCCATGGATCGATTCCGTACTGATCCCTCATGGAGTCGAAGTGCCGGCGGCCCTCCTCGACCAATCCAGCTACGCTGCACCCACGAAGCACGGAGACGAAGGTGACCCCGGTAGGCAGCACGCCATGTTCCTTCATGAGCTCGAAGAGATCGAGGCATTCTTTGCCGGCTCCATGCATCGCCAGCCCGCTCATCGCGGTGCTCCAGGTGTAGACGTTCTTCTCCTGCATCCTCCAGAAAACATCCATCCCCCTCCCGACGTCGCCACACTTGGAGTACATGTCTACGAGGGCAGTACCGAGCGTTACCGTAACGCGGAGTCTGTTCCTTTGCATGTAGGCGTGCACCCACTTGCCCTGGTCAAGCGCGCCCAGGTGGGCGCATGCGGTGAGGACCGAGACCAACGTCGCCACGCTGACTCTGACACCCTCCAACTGCATTGAGGAAAACAGTTCCAGCGCCTCTCTGGAACGGCCGACCTGCGAGTACCCGGCGATCATGGCGTTCCAGGCTATGGGGTCCCGGCGGGGCATACTGTCGAACAACTCGCGGGCGAGGACAATGTCACCAGCGGCTGCAAGGGCTCCAAGCATGGCTGTGCGGGAAACGAGATCAGGGTCGGGAAGCTCGTCATAGACGCGGCGGGCAGCGTCGAGGAGGCCGAACTGGGCGTACATGCGGATTAGAGCGCTGTGGACGTGGGGGTTGGAAACGAAGCCGCGGCGGAGGGCGGCGGCATGTGCAATGACCCCGGCGGCGGAGGAGGGCCCTCCTCGGCCGCAGGAGCCGACAAGGAAGGTGAAGGTGAAGCGGTCAGGGGAGAGAGCGTCGGGGGAGCAGAGCAGTCGGCGGTAGAAGCGGAAGGCAGGGGCCGGGTCAGGGCCTCTCGAGTGGGCGCGAATTAAGGAGTTAAGGACGAAGGTGGTGGGCGGGTGCGGAGAGTAATCGAGAAGCCGCTGAGAATAGAGGAGCAGGAGTTGTCGTTCGTGGTGCTGAGGAGAAGAGGGGGTGGTGTTGCTGGGCGAGAGAAGGGCGACGGCAGCGAGGAACTGGACGAAGAGGAGGGGGTGGTTGAGGTGGCCATGGACGAGGAGTTGGGCGTGGATTTGGTGGACGTGGGCAAGGGTGACGGGGCCGAAGGATGAGTCGAGAAGCGTTATGGGGTTGTGTCTGGTGATTATGTTCCGAAGTGATGTTGTCATCGCAAGGGCACGCGCGGCGTCGAGCGGTGGGAGGGAGGGATAATTTTAGTCGTCATTCGAAGAAGGGGCATTGCCTGAACAATAGGAGTCGCATAGAAACACACTCCGTGCACTGGAGATGTCGACGTGGAACAATTTTCATGGCAGAATGCAGAGCGAGGAGGCAGCGTTGGCAGCCACGCAGAAGTACTCTACCGGGGGAGATGGACAAGACCAGTGCTGAGACTGAACAAGATATGCTTTAACAATTTGAGACTTGAGCATGGAATGCCGGATAGCTATTTCGGAAAAGAATCAAAATTGATGATGGAACGAGATAAATTTTAGAACGGAGAGTTTTCCTAACAAAAATTTTGATTATCCGAACAACTTTCAAGGATCAAATTTGTAGAATAATCCAAGAGGATAAGTGCCCAACTTCAATTATCCTGAATGCATGCAGAGAGAAAAACTCAACAAATTGACTGAGGTTTTGGCCCTCTTTTTTTTTCGATTGCCGTGGCTGCTGTAATTTGTCACAATGATATGCGGGTCGACGTGTCATGTCGGTCACATCATCCCTGAAATACTTCGAGGGCTCGTTCCGATAGACGGCTGCACCCAGCAGTCAAAGGGCATAACCCGCCCCAGAAATCAATCCGGTGACCTGACAGTTCATCTAGCGGTTCCAGAGCACTTGACCCCACGAATTCAACGGCTGTCATCTCCCTGCACCAAACAACGGGTCGGTCTCATCGCCGTCTTATGGTTCTCACGGCGGATTAGGGCCTTCACGCTCGCTCCTCCACATCCGTCTCACTTCACGTTGTTGATATTTACTAATATTTAGGACGGCGCCGCTCTGTCCTCTCTCCGCCTTTCCTCGCTGCGACGTTTTCTCTTCCTTACCACTCTGCCCTTCGGTCTCATGGGTCCGGGTCTCTACTCCGAGATCGGCAAAAAGGCCCGAGGTAATTTACTTTCTGTCATTTTTTTTTTCCATCCTTTCTTTCCTTCCTTTTTCCGTCTTTATGCTGGACATCTTTGATTTTTTTTTGCAGATCTTCTTTACAAGGATTATCAGACTGACCACAAGTTTACCGTCACTACCTGCACCGCAAATGGAGTCGTAAGTGATTATTTCCTTTTTCTTTTCGGTTTTTCTTGCTCGTTGATCTTGCTTTTGTGTCGTTGGAAATGGGTTTGGCGTCATATATTTGCTGATTATCTTCTTAGCTTCTCTCCTTCCGATGAATGGATGTATTTATGTAGTTTAGTCATGTTGTGTAAACTTAATCTCGAAATCACTTAGATGCCTCTATGGCTTGCGATTTTTTTTTGAAACCTCACAATCTATGACCCAAAGGGGTGTTGTATAGGTGGTTTTTTTTTTTCCTCTGATTGATCTATGGATCGTCTGATGGACTCCAAGCAAGGAAGATTGTGCTTAAAAGAATGACAAGGGTAGAAATGCCACTTGGATATTTTCCAAATACTGATGTTTGTTTGGCCTTTGTGCAAGTTATAAGAGGATCTTACTCTGAGGGTAGGAGGGTAGGATTATTGTAACTGTCTCTGGGCAACTGGAATCCCTAACAGGTCTGAGATATCTTATTGTGGTACTTAAATTGGACCATTAGATATCTTTGATCTGTTGATTGCACTGCAGATCAATTGTTTCAACATTTGGCTCTTTCTGTAAACTGAAGTGCCGAAAGATCCTCAGAAGTAGGAATATACTTTTACCTTGAATTTTTTAGATGTTTGGCGCATGATTGCCTTCGACAGAGCTCATGGTGTGAAAAGATTCATGTAACTAGCTCCCAGTAGTCATGACCCAAGACTTGTGTTGTTAGTGTAGGCATGATATGAGCAATTGTGACTTTTTCCCATAAGCTGTGACTATGATTGAGATAAAAATTGGATCGTAATATGACAACAAGCAGTCTTTATGTGCAGCAAAGTTATTTTTGTTTGATAGTTGGGACCTTTTGGTTTGTAATTGCTTTCTTCTGGTTGTTTACCATAATCACTTTGATGTGGGACAATTTTTATTTTTTTATTGAATAAATTTTATTAATTTAGGGATATTTTGCAAATGTCATAAGTTTCCATATGAAAAATCTTCTATAATTCTATATTAATTACCAAGATTGCCAAAAAGAATGAAAAAAATGAAAATCCAGAAGGAAGGATGCAAACATACCTTTATAAAGGATGCAATGTTTGATTATTGATATGACTTGATTTTTGGGATATTATTGTATTCTTCTTCATTTTTAAAAACATATCTTTTTTTGGAATATTATTATTTGAGGTCTATAAAAAGGAAAAAATGAATCGTAATTGAAAATTAGAGAATTAATGAATGAAAGAATATTTTTTCCACAAAGTATAAGTTGACAACGTGTGAGTTGTATGAGGACATTCCAATGGTGAATTTCCATCAGTCATATATAAGATGTGCGGAGGTGAGATTTTCATCCCTGGCAGTTGCACAATGAGCTGAGTCTAATACTTATTCTTTGTTATATTATCTATTTCTCTTCTCTCTTTTGCTTATTCTATTCTTAAATAAAAGAATATATTTGCTTGTCATGAACTGGTCTTATGTTACACACTTCATAATCATAGTCTCTTAGGAGTCCGCTATAGTATTTTACTATACAATGTAACTCTAGCAGTCCTGGGACAGAATTTTTGGCATGTGGTGATGTTAGCATGCCTATCATTTAGTGGTGACAGGATATAGTATCTCCTTCCTCTTTTGTTTTTTAGAGGTCAGGCCTTCCAGTCATAATATTCTTTCCCCATTCCATATCTTGTCTGCTAATATAAAACAGTCTAGTTTTGTGTGTTTCATGTCAGCTTCACTAATTTTTTGTTTGTTCGTGTTTTCATGGCATTTGACACTCATCCAGCTGCTCCTGTTTTTAAAGTATGTGACTGTCTGGAGCACTTAGAGCAACAACCACCATTAAAGATCCTTCCTTGTGTATTGCTGGATATAAGTTATTTTCAATTACCATTATGTTCTTTCAGCACATGCTATGGGATATTGGCAATTTCTTAATTGACTTTCTATATGATCTCATGGAAAAGGGAAAGCTAGTGAAGTAATTATGGTCTTGGTGCTGGCATATGACGGTTAGAATTTGTTCAGGTGGACAACCAATGTGCTTTGAACTTTGATTTATATTGACCCATTCTACATTGGTTTGGCTAGTTTAAGCTGTGGGTCTTATAAATATGCATATTACTGGAGAAACTGAATTTACTAAAAAATATATTAAATGTGCATTGTACATTGTCTTCTCTTTCTACATTGGTTTGGCTTGTTTGAGTCTGGTTTTACTTAAAATATATATTTCTAGTTTATGGGAAAAGTAATGGTGGATAAGATTCATGTGGCCACCTCCAAGTATTCAGGAACTTGGTCTTCTTGTTGATTCTACTAATCTAGGAAACATGATGGTTAGAACTTTCTAGTTCAATCATCCATGTAGAGAGCTTGTTTGCTGACAGTCAGCTTCTTGGCATTTGTGATCCTTAAGTTTCTACCTTTTTTGCAACACTCTACCATTCTAGTTTGATCTTTTTCTCTGCTGCAGGCAATTACAGCTTCGGGTACAAGGAAGAATGATATAATTTTTGGTGAGATTCAGTCTCAGATAAAGAACAATAACATCACTTTTGATGTGAAGACAAACTCAGATTCAAATGTAAGATTTATTACCATTTCATTGTTGTTTATGAATTGACATGTATGGTGTATGAAGCACAAGGCTTTTAGATGTAATAGTTTCTGAAAATATGAGAAATGTTATGCTGTTTCATTGGCCATGGTACATACAATTTGTTGTGGTTATTAAGCACAATTTTGGAGCACCTATGGAGAAGTGACCATTATTCTTATGGAGCATGTTTTTTGTTTTATTTTTTTTACCTTTTGTATCTCATACTTAATTGTTTCTCCAGCCAAATGTTCCATAGTCATAATAAGTTGATCTGTTTTGCATTATAACATGGTTAACCAGTAACTAATATTTGCATTTACAAAATAACTTGATAAAATAAATGGTGATGCAGCCAAGTCAATGATGATTATTAACCACATGGTTTTACTTATCATGAAAATGGCATTTTCAGGATGGATGATACTGAGCTTGTGTATTCTCAAGTCAATTGCTTTTAGGGCACTAAAAACAGACATGAGAGGATGTACTGCTTCCTTTTGTATATGAAAATTTTCTTCTACCAGATGGTCATAACTATTATTGTCATACTTGCTAGGTGACAACTACAGTTACCATTAATGAACTTGCCACCCCAGGTTTGAAGACAATTTTCAGCTTTGTTATTCCAGATCAGAGGTCTGGGAAGGTGAGAAGTTCTAGTTGTATTTTTTGTTGATGAAGATATGTTCAGCATAATTGTTCTCTTTTTCATTTCAATCATTAAATAAACTACTTTTTCAGGTTGAGCTTCACTACTTGCATGATTATGCTGGGGTTAATGCAAGCATTGGATTGACTGCAAATCCTGTGGTTAACTTTTCTGGTGTGGTTGGATCTAAGACTGTCTCAGTTGGTGCCGATGTGGCATTTGATACTGCAACTGGGAATTTTATCAAGTACAATGCCAGTCTGAGCATCACTAATGCTGATCTTATTGCTGCCTTGGCTCTGTGAGTATTTTCTCTCAAGTAAAATTTCACCAAATAAAGAATTTTTTTGATTTTTTGGTGAAAATGCCAAATTCTAAGCATGGTCTTGGATATTTATGGTAAATTTTGACTTTTATTTGCATGCAGGAATAACAAGGGAGATAGCTTGAGTGCTTCCTATTACCACTTGGTTAACCCTTTGTCAAGCACAGCAGTTGGTGCAGAGCTGACCCATAGCTTCTCTAGCAACGAGAACACACTCGCCTTTGGAACTCAGCATGCGCTCGACCCTCTGACCACAATAAAGGCACGCTTCAACAATTATGGCAAGGCTAGTGCTCTTATCCAGCATGAGTGGAAGCCCAAATCATTTTTCACCATCTCAGGAGAGGTTGACACCAAGGCCATTGAGAAGAGTTCAAAAATAGGCTTGTCCTTGGTGCTTAAGCCATGATGAAAAGTTCTTGGGTATTGTTTGCAATGTACTTCCGTTTCAAAATTTAATGGAATGGAATAAGTTTAGAAGGAACTATGCCCCGATTGGTGGCAGCATCATTTTTAGTTGTTGTCATGCTTGTAGTTGCTTAACGTTGGGCATGGGGGCTTTGTCTCCCTGCTTGTTTTGATACTAGTCTGTAAGAATAATTCTTATCCAGCGACTGAGACCAGATGCTGCCCTGCATATTACCATTTTCTTCCTAGATATATAAACTGGTTGTGAGCAGAGATTGGTATCAAATGATTAGAATTTGCTTTTTGGTATTCCTCCGATTATAATTTTCTGCCAGTGGTATTTGGCGTACATATCTTTAGCATGCTTAACCTTTTGGAACAAAGATATGATCGACTGGTATTTCTACGTTTATTTAGTGGGGGTAATGTCATTCTCTGAGCATTTAAGGGTAAGTGTAGCTTTCCAACGGATTATAATTAGGAGTCCCATCACTGTCCTTTTGGGTAAGCGTAGCTTCCTCGAATTTCCATGCATAGGGTCATCTTGTAGACTAAGCTCTTAGAAATACTTTAGTCAAAATAATTTGAAGTTACACATAAAACCAGCAACCTAGCAGTTTGAATGATGGTCTTTTTAATGTTGAAGCACGTAGAAAAATAGAGAACAATCATTAACTATGCCCGAATATATGCTGTCAAAGTTAAACATTAACTGGATGATGCTTTTCTTATTACTATGATCAGCTCTAAGAGAGTACTATAAAGCTGGAGGTCAAGTAACAAGTATAATTTAAGTTGCATTATAGCATAGTCATTACTTTATTATCACTGGAAGAGAAGTTTTATGGATCATATATGCAGTTTGTAGCTTGTCTTGTGATTCTCGATGCCAAAATCTAATCCTTAAATTAATTATGACTCCATGCAGGGTATATAAGACGATGCAGAAAAGAGTGATCTTGTACAATGTTGATGAAGAACTACTAGAATGAAGCGAGCCATGGAAGGGCTCAGTGTCATGTGCAAACTTGTGCAGAAAAGAAGAGACAGAATCAATGAGAAGATGAAGGCACTGAATAGCTGTTACCTCGTTGCAACAAGGTGATCTGACAGACTTCTTTCCACAGTCGATGAAAGAAAATATCATGTTTTCCTGTGCTCTTGTTGCATTTTCTACAGCCATGGAATCAAAAGCTTACGGTTCTTGATAGCAGTAGCAACTAGTGAATACACACACCCCTTGGTACCCACACGTCGGAGAGGATTGGGCCGACATCGGTGCCTGACGTGTCGGTGGCAAACCCCCGCCCTCACCTCACCTCTCAATGTTTTTAGTTCGTACCCCCGCTTTGAAGTCCCGCCGGACAAGTGTCTACCCCGGCCCACTGTCCTCTCCGACGCATCTCGCCTCGCTGGCCTCGCCTACAGACCCATGTGGTGGTTGATCAGTCATCCTGGGGTGTCCACCGCTTCCACGGCAGCCCATGCGTCGCCCGTGGACCGAGCCTGCCGTACCCAACGCACCTAGTCGGCTTTGGTTCGGCATGGCCTCGTTTCAAGTTGGACTTACATTCCTCCGTCCTCCAAGTTGTATGAGCGTTGGTTATTCCTTTGCATCCCCACGGATTCCCATGTTGTTTCTGGAGCACGAGCATCGGGGACGAGGAAGAATCCCTTTTATAGTCGTTTACGCTTCGATATAACAAATAAAGAGAACTGCTGATCTGCAGACCCGCAGGCTTAGGCTTTGCCCCTCGCAATTAGGGAGCCTATGCCTAAAAATGCAACCGGACAAAATCACTTTAGAAAATAATTTTCGAATGGCATATACAACCAATGATATTTATAGAATAATAAAAATAATTTTAGAAAAATATTATTTAGTTTTTAAAAAATTTTCTATTGGTTTTAAAAATGCATTGACAAATCAACTAATCGAATTATCAAGAGTAAAATCTTTGAGAGAAAAAACTATTAGTACAAAGTAAAAAAAAAAATCAAGGGAATAGTCGAACTCCAAGCTTGATATGCATCTAACAACTCCATTTTAAATTTGGTGATAGTATTAAGGTATGATATGCAATAAAATTTATAATTTTTAACAAAAATCACGAGACAAATATTAGCTACTCCACTATTGATGATAACTTAAAGCAAACCTTTAACACGAGAGGATAAATATGAAATGAAATGAGATCAAACATAACCTCTTGAATTAGAATAAACTCAAGCATGTGGACAAGGGGGGGCGATAAAATGAAAATAAGAGATCATTTGCGAAGAAAATGATCTCTTATTCAACCTATCAACTAAAGGGACTATAGGAATCGAAACCTCCATCATCATCGATAATGATTATGATTTATAATTTTACTTAATTTTATATCAAAAATTTTAATTATATCATAATTATCATTACATATTTTGACTTATTAAGTTATTATGGATATACATCAATATTTAAAAATTTAAAAATAACAAATTATATTATAAATTAAGTTTAAAAAATATTTGATTACAATCAACTGAATCAGAATCGAAATCGGGGATTAAAACTAATGATTCTGGTTCAGTTCCAGAGTTAAAATTTAATCGATTCGTTTTTAATTCTAAATTTTTAAAAATAAAAAATCGATGATTCTAAAATCAAAACAACGATCCTAAAATCGAAGCCGAGGATGCCGTCGATCACATGCGGCTCCGTCATGTGATCGCATCCGGCTTTCGTCGCCAAGGATACCGTCGAATCTGGAGCCCTGCCGCTTCTCCACGTATACCCTGCCGCTTCTCTCCTTTCCTCTCACTCCGTTTCGGGAGTAGAAAACAAAAGCTGAGAGCCCCGAGAGTGAGAGACCCCACTGTCAGTCTTTTTTAACCAAGCGGATACAAAGACAGATCAGGCCTTCTCCGCGAGCGTCCGAGAGATAAAAGAGCTAGTCATCATCGTCGTCGTCGTCGTCAAGCGTCATTGTCTCCACCGTTTCCCTCCTGTCTGCTTCTCCTCCGCGCCCAGGAATGTGATGCCCTACGGAAGGCCATTTTGAGTGTCCCCGTTCATCACAAGGCCACGAAGTGAGGAGGTGGCAGTGCTGGTGGTGGAGGACGAGGAGAGAGGAAGCGGAATGACGGAGCTACGGTGCTAAGAAATTCCGTAGCAGTGGGTGGGGAGTGAGCACGCCAGAGGGAGGGATGGGCGAGAGCGGGGGCCCGACGATGGCGCCGCTGAACGTGGCGGCTCTGAGAGGAGAGGAGAGGTGGCGGCACTTCGACGACTCCGTCAACGCCGTCTCATTTGGCTTCGTGGCCACCGCCATCCTCATCTCCATGTTCCTTGCCATGGCCATCTTTGAGCGCTTCCTCCGCCCCAGGTCCCCTCTCCTCTTTTCTTCCGACAACGGCCAGCGCGGCGGAGGAGGGCCTGTCTCGGCTTTCCAGAGGGGGACGCTCTTGTCCGCGGATCTGGAGGCGCAACCCCAGGGATTCGCTGGCAAGCTCGATTATCCTTCGCCCAAGGTACGGACTAATTTGAGATTTATGCTGATTAGCGCACCAATGCACCATATCATGCTAACAACCTACTTTTGCTGCTGCTGTTATGTTTAACCCTCATGAGTTACGCCCTCCAATCCTTATTCGTTGTGGATAGATAATGAAATTATGCCCCTTCCTTTTGATCTACTACTGGTCACACAACTCGGCCTAAGTTCGTTTAGCTTTCTCTGGATCTCATCTTCTTTTTTCTTTTTTACTCCGTCTTCAACCTTTAATGATTGGTTTGGCTCAAATGGGCTTTTGTCATGACTCATAACTGCGCTGGACAATTCTAAACGCTTCTAACAACTTGTACCCTTGTTTGGACTTTGTTTTCTCTCTTCGTCGACAAGACTCCGGAAAACGTTCGAAAGATAAGAGGGTTTATGTTTCCACAATCTGAATTTTCAACGGACCACTTGTAAAGCGGCTGATCAGTTTTCAACACGATATACTATCTTTGTACAGGACCACGTCGGATTGTATATATTGTCCTGTTTCTGATATCAAATGGAATTGAGAAAAAGGAATATGCAGTAATAAATGACCCATTTGTCATCTATCGACAAGGAAACAGGCATCCGTAAGGAGACAAGAATGTCCTCTGATAGCGTCCAAAGTTTAAAAAAGAGGTGCTCTGGAGTCCCCATCGTCCCCCAGTCATTCCATGGCTGAGGCACTTGCACAATGCCTCCTATAAAAGAAGTGACCTATCGAATAAAAATTAGTTTTAAGCTAATTTGTACCAAAAAAGTTATGTGATAATTCATTGGGATCATTATTCGTATGTTATCTTATGCAAATTGGGTTGTGTGGTCTCAATCACCACAAGGATTTTCACCTGAAAGTTATGTTTGATCTGATTTTTACAGAAAAGTGACATTGTTAACTGTTTAAAGTCCCAGTATTATGTGTTTGCAGCCTAAATACTGGTATTATAAACCTAAGCCATTCAATTTCATCCAAAATTGGTCTTCTTTTAATTATATTTGGATCTGTATCACAACCATCAAAACCCCTTAGATTTGTCAAACTTATTGGAACTGGGTCAAATGCAATCACAACAAGCAGAATCTAACAAAACTATTTGGGTTTTTGGGTGGCTCTTGGCTGAAAACAATTTGCTTCATTCAAACTTTAGACCCTAAATCCAAGGAATAAAAGAAACAAGGTACAAGCATTGCTCTTAATTTTCAAACACTGCTAATTTTCCATTTCATTATGATGCCAAATATAACATTTCACTTGTTTAATAAATTCATTTTAATCGGATCTATGCTTTTGTAATCTGTGAAGAGGCCTTAACATGAATGTAGTAGGCGATGAATCGTTGTGTTTTTTCTTGTCCGTGGCAATGTTTTAAAAAAAGAGAAAAGTTAGGAAATTTCGGTGAACTTTGACCATACACCTCTTGGTAACAGTTTTAGAGCAAGCAAGCTCTTGCCAACCTTTTGCTCCATTAGTATCTTGATGCAAGCCTTATTTTGTTCAAGATGGGTCGGTGAGAGTACAATTCGAGTTTGAGAAATGCATCACGGATGAAATGAAATATTTTATGGCTAATCTGAGTCAATCTACTCAAGTTGGTTATGTATCATGGCAGAGATAAATTAACATGAACAATGACCTTGCCTAGACATTCGAAGACTAAAAACATGCAACTGGAATTGGGATTGGATTGCCTAGGACAAAAAAACACTGGCTGGAATTTTTTATATTGCATTGCAATCATGTCTCTATCTAAAAGCGGCATGGATGAAAGCCCAATCATACACTTGTGCAGCTCCTCATGTTCTCCTATTTAAGGCCTTTCATCTCTTCCAGGGCTTCCAATTCAATTGCAGCAACTTCATGATGATTAGCCTCAATATAAATTTAATTGCAAGAATCATGACCAGCTCATCATTGTCCCACTAAATCAAGTTGTAGGTTCTAATACTTATGATAGATATGATGACATACATGAGCTCCTTATGAGTATATTCATTTCGAAGGAATTGTGATACTTATATAACTAAAGAAATTGGTTAGCTGTTTCACAATGGGTAATGGTGGTTTTATGGAAATAATATATTCGGAAGGCAAAAGTTTATGCTTTATTATTTAGCAACATATGAGGTATTGCTTCTTTGTTTGGAGTAGTAATCTTGTCAAAAGCTTGAATAACTCTTTAGTGTGATGACAAACAACTTGAGATATGGAGACTGAGTTCCTGATCTATGATAAATAAACTCAGACGCTGTTTCTCGCCAAAGGCCTTTTATTGTTTATCCATGATGAAATCCAGAAGATGTATAGAAGTTTAAACTCAACAGTTTTGAAAGCTTGGTTTAGTGCATCTGCTATGTTTTCTTTTAACTGGGATGCACCATCCTATCTAGGCCTGGCATACAAGGTATATAAGGAACTTATCATTAATCATTCTAGACCAACCAGTACAGTCGAAATATGAATCCTTGGTGCTCACTAAAGATTGAAAGCTTTCCTTTATCTTAAACAAAAGATACATCCCAGCTAAACTATGTCTGGTTGGGACTCGATTCTATCCAAGAATATTTATGCACTCAGGATTTATGCATTGCCCAAAAGGATACAATATGAGTGCATGTTGGTGTAAATACTATTGTGAGATGCATCATTATTAGCAATTTTGAATGCCTATTTGTGCATTTTATATAGTTTGTTTAACCTGGATATGTATATTATATCCTTATCAGCTTATTCTGGGATGTTTCAGGTAAAAGAAAAAAAGAACTGCAATGTAACAAGATAAATCATGCAAACTATAGACCTATATTTTAATTTTCATTAATACTTTGTGTTTGATTTTATGTTGTGCTGGTTTTATATCTTTGATCATTTTTTTGATACTGTTGAAGTGTGATTGTCATGATAATGTATTTATCCTATTAGACTAGCAGCTAGAGCAAGGAATCATAGTCCATCTTACAGTGTATCTAGAAGATAAATATAACCAGTTATTCATCATGTTATTTTCAATGCCATAATTTCTCTAAAATGTTATATGGGAATGTTTATTCAGATGAGAGAAAATAGTGTCAGAGGTTGAATAAATAAAAAGGAGCTTGTGTAAAATTAGAATATACCTTTTTGCCAATAACAACAACAAACCCGTAAGTCCCAATTATTTGGGATCGGTTACATAGATCTTTTGCTGCTATTGAGATATGTAAAAAGTCATATGTTTAGTTAAGTTCAAAATACTTAAATATTTATTTATAGTTCTTATTAAAGTCTTTTTAGGTATTCCTTTATCTTTCCTCGTATCACTAACATTAATCATTTCATCTCTTCTAACTACCACATCCGGAGGTCTCCTAAACACATACTCATACAATCTTAAACAATTTTCTCTCATCTTATCCTTTATTGAAGCGATACCTAGTTGTTCACAAATAAAAATATTTTTTTTCTATCTTTCCTAGTAACTCCATATATTAACATTCTCATCTCGGCAACACAAACTTTATATATATGTTGCTTCTTAACTACCCAATGCTCAGATTCATAAAGTATTGTTGGTTTCATAATTGTCTTATGAAATTTTTTTTAATCTCAAAGATATTTGATAATCACACAAGACTCATGACGCCTCTCGCTATTTTAACCATCATGTTTTTGTATAATGAATTATATCTTCATCGATCTTTTCATTTTGTTGAATAATTTGTTTAAGATACCTAGAGTCTTTATTTCAAGAAATTTCTTGTCTATCAAACTTAACTATATTATTCTGTCTATTACTAGAATTACTAAAATTGCATCTCATATATTCAGTTTTAGTCTATAATTTAAAACCTTTAGTATCTAAAATTTTCTCTATAGTTCAAGTTTATAATTAATTTCACTTGGTCTCTCATTAACTAAGATAATATCATCAACAAATAATATATACTAGGGACTAGGGAGGTCTATCATATAAGTGATTGGTAAGTTCATCCATTATTAATATGAAAAAATATGGACTTAATACAGATCCTTGATGTAATCGTATGCTAATTGGAAACTCACTAGACACACTCTTTATAGTTCTAACACTAGTAGCTACATTATCATATATATCTTTAATAACATCAATATAATTAGTAGATATATCTTTTTTTTCTGAAACCTACCATAATAAATCTTTAGGAACTTTATTATAGCTTTTCTCTAAGTCAATAAAAAGCATATGCAAATCTTTCTTCTTCTCCCTATACTTTTTCATTAATTGTCTTAATAAATAAATAGCTTCTATGATTGATCTTTCAAGAATAAAATCAAATTGATTTTCAGAGATATTTATTTAAAGTCTATTTTATTTTCGATAACTTTTTCCCAAAGTTTTATGGTCTGACTCATGATTTTAATTTCTCTATAAATTAAACATTTTTGTATGTCACTTTTATTCTTGTAAATTGGTACTAAAAACCTCTTTCTCCATTCATGATCTTTCTAAATATTATGATATTGGTAAATAAGTTAGTTAACCAAGTTACTCCCTTGTCCCCTAAGTTTTTCTAGACCTCAATAGAGATCCCATTAAGTCTCATACTCTTAGTTATTTTCATATTTTTTATTACGTCTTTTATTTTACTAGTTCTAATTTTATGAACAAATATATGATTATTAAATCTATTACTACTATTTATCATTAAATCTTAGTCCTATGTGAAATATTCATTAAATAATTTATAAAAATAATTTCTTCGTATTTCCTTAATCTTGTTATCATTAACAAATATTTTTTTATCTTCGTTTTTAATGCTTCTAATATTATCTAAATCTGTATACTTTCTTCCCTAGCTTTAGCAGTTTGATATGTATCTTTTTTACCATCTTTAGTATCTTGTTTATTATAAAAATTATCATAAGCTTTATATCTTATCATACTAACCATTTTTCTTTTTTTATTTTCTATAATAAACATCTAGTACTATCAACTTATGTTGATTTACTAAACTTTCCCCAGGTATAACTTTACAATTCTTACAAATAACTTTATCTATCTTTCTAGTGAGAAAAAAATTTATTTGACTACACCACCATCTTCATTTCTCTCCCATAACTAAAGCCGCCATGCACCCTTCTATATTCACCATTTTCTCTATATGACTATTCAAATTTTCTCTAATTATAAGTTTTTTGGTTATAGATATTTCCTTGAATGATAGAGAGGAATAATCTAAGCTTTCCCAAAATTCTCTTTTGATTTGATCATCTAATCCGACTTAAGGGGCATAAGCACTAATGACATTCAAATCATTATGTCTTTTCATAAATTTTAGGACTATTATTCTATCGTCAAATCTTTTTGCGTCTTCAATATTGTTCTTAAATTTTAACTTTCTTAGTATATAAAATTTTAAATCGAGTACTACCAATCTCTTTAGATTTTTCCTCTACCCACTTAGTCTTTTGTAAGCAAATACTATTAATCCTAGTATTTTAAATCCAGAACATACCTTTCTGCAATTATCTACAAATCCTAGAATGTAGGTTGATTATGTTAGGGGCAGAACTGGATCCCAATCAGCCTGGTGGTAAAGAAATACATACGTGAGGTATACTATCTGGAAAGCTTAAAAGAATAAGTCATGCTCTCATAAATCAGATGCTTTTTACCATCTCATGTCTATCCTATACAAGTCCATTTGCTTAGACCATCTGCTCACTAATGAATATCAACACTTCCCCATTCAATTATGATACCTTGGTCATGGTTCTAAATCTTGGATGCTAGACTCATATAGGTCCCTTGATGGTCCAGTATAGGTCCTGTATGCACCGATATACCAATTTATTGTCCGTTGGTGCACATATAGCACCAAAAGGAGGAAAAGGAGAAGAGTAGGAAATGGAGGTAAAGGCGGAGATCAAGGAGGAAGAAGAGGAGAGGACTACATGGCAAGCCAATAGCAACGACATTCGGCACAAGAAGTAGTTGGGCTACAGTGATGGCCAAGGGCAAGCGTGGATGGTGTGAAGAGGTGAGGTGAGCGCACATGTGCGAGAGAGAGAGAGAGAGAGAGAGAGAGAGAGAGAGGTTTTAACCCTAAATAAAAGACCTATACAAGATCTGAACCACCTGAAAAAAGGTCAGCTTGTAACCCGGTTCCCAATTGGGCTGGTAAATACCACTCAGTATGGACCGTTCTAGAGAGTAGAACCTTGACCTTGATAATAACACCCCCTGTGTGACCTTGTTCGAGTCAATCCCACATGCAATGATAACCCAATTATGCATTCCTCGAAAGTGCATGGTGCCAATCCACAACTCAACCATCTAAACATTGAGTCGGTATCAAGCTAGACAATCAACTGCTTATTTGTCTCTTAAAGCTAGTCAGCTGCTCAGAACCAACAGCGTCGGTCGGCTTAATCACCATATGTATAGGAGTCTGTCACTATCTATCATCAATTCCATTACTTGTCTGCCATAATTAAACCACTGATTTTGAGATCACATGTTGAGGAGAGAACTGGTTCCCAGTCAGCCTACTTGTAAAGGATACATTCAGGCATCACCAAACCCAAAATCATAAGCCTCGTGGACTCTCATGTCATATACCCACTTACTATTTCACGTGATCATAATGGTGAGGTTATTCATTTAACCCTCTACTCAAGTGTACACCCAACAATTTCCCCAACACACTCTGGAGAAACTCTAGGGACTAATTATATTTCAGTACGCCTGGGTTGTTTGCGGATCTTTTTTTGTCAACTTTTGTGTTATCATAACAACATAGTGGCTATTATGTCTTCCATTATTAACCTAATCAGTACAGTATCTGCGAAGATGAAATTGAACAATGAGTTATTTTCGAATTCCCAGTTCTGTTGAACATGGTTACATAAAAGTATCATTATCAATATGAAAAATCATTTTCAGCTTACTAGTATATCTAAAAATTATATGAATGATGAGCCCTCTTGCAGCACATTAGCTGGGAGACTTTGAACTAGTGTAAGATCTATTTGAAACACGAACAGTAACAATTAAATTAGGAAGCAGGTGAGTTTAAAAGAGACTTCTTTGACTTCAGTGAGAGAGGCTTCATTGATTCAGATTTCTTTGCATTTAAGTATAGATAACAGACCAGAACTGGTAGTTTCATATATATAAGTGTATATGTATATGAGTATGATATATTGATGCTGTTTAGTCTCTCTGGTTTTAGTTTTTAAAATTTTCAACACTGTTGTGCTTCCTATATGATTCACTTTATATCCTCTGATACAGAATTAGGTTTTAGCATAGATGCTGTAATTTTATAAAAGCAATACCTGCAATTTAGGCAGTCTAATCCTTGGAGGTCGCTCTACTTATAAAAGACATACCTTCTTTTGCATCAAAGTATCATGTCTACCATGTGTAAATAAGAGAAAGCTACGTAGCATCTGATTGTCACCCATGATATACAAAATAGGAACCACTTTATAGAAAGCTATTTATTAGTTCCCTGCTTATAATTTTGGTTAAATTTAGGAGGACATAGTTATGTAAAAGTTTTAATTCAGTAATAATAATATCATAACTAGTGGGCAACAGATGCTCAGATGAAAGAATTTAGTAACCAAATCCATCTATCTGTTTAAGATAGTTACTGACTGGTACTTGCTTTCTATCACTGTTATTTATGTTCTCTTTCTTGATCAGATGTCGATCTATTCAAAGGAGGTACCAGTGCTGATGCCCGGGCATAGCGTGCCCACCTTCATTGCACATCCTGCTCCTGTTCCCTGCCGACCTGAGCGGATCCCATGGCCTTCTCATCAACAATACTCAATTAGTGGATCTCCCTCAAATTTAGACTAGTGAACATCAAATTCAAGTTGAACTTGGTTCCATCTGCGGGTCGTTCTGCTATCTGGCAGTGTCTCATCTTGTTATAGAACTCGTTGCTGTGGTTAGATAGGCATTGCCGGTGTCTGTATAGTTGTTTTCTTTGGCTTCAATCAAGTATGCTGCCCCTGTTGCTCACTGTAATAGAGAGGTAGCTTTCTTAAGGCAAGTTTTTATGGGTTCTACTTGGATACTTTGAAACAGTTGTTAGCTCATTGCCCTTGTTTCAGTCTGTCCAATGAATTTGTTTAAGCTTTTCCATGAGAAATTAATTGGTTCCAGATGAATTTCCTTTGTTTGGCCTTCCAGTTTCGTGCGTAAATGAGTGCAATCCTTTGTTAGGGAACTGAACTTTAAGCTTCTAAGAAGTGGTTTGATTTTTTTTTTTAAAGATTTTTTATTACATCTATTATTAGAAAGTTGTATGAAAGCATCCATGTTTAGATAATGTAAATTCTACAGATGTGTGTTTAAAGGTAATTGCATAATTGAGCTGTATATATATATATATATATATAGTGTCAGTTGAAGGGGTCTCAAGAAAAGGATATTGTGTTAACACGAATTAAATGGGGAATTAGGAAGAGCAATCAGCAAGGAGGACCCAAGTTATGTTTATCCATGGGGTCAATATTAAATCTGACCATGCTCTTGGTTAGTGTTGAAATAAAAAATGGTTTATATGTATGTGTATTATAAGCCTATTACTACCATGGACATTAAAATGCAGTCACAATTTATCAGTGTGGAAAATTAAAATGTGGTTGCTGAGAATGCTTGTAGGGTTCTCATGTTTGCACATGTCTGTCTCGTCCTAATAATGGAAAGTAAGATCAACCAGAAAACCATTGATCTGATGGTGACCCTTTTTGTTTTTTTCTTCTACCAGTGATTCATGTTAAGCTTATATATCGTCATTTCTATTTTAGATCAAGTGAATTAAAAATTGTTGGCTGCTATGTTTGAAGACAATTCTCATCATGAAGTTGTAAACCCAGCAAGGGTCTCTTCGGACGGAGTTCAGCTAACCCAATTGGGTAGTCTCAAGGATGGCAGTTGGTGTGTCTACTCGAACATGACTTTTTCGGAACGGGAAAGACACGCCGTTGCGTTGGCGCCCGTCGACACGCCACCCCCGTAGCCATGGAGGTTGTACCGTGTTGACACGGACTTAGCTGGTTTTGCCTAAGTCGTGCGGCACCCTTGCGTGTCCGTCCGCAAAGGTCAGCCTCCCCGAAGCCTCCCATTGTCCCTTAGGACCAACAAAAGAGAGAACGGGTTAGCGTTCTTGTGAGCATAGCCACCTTTGCCGTGAGTTCCGCCACAACATCCTGTAGGTGCTGCACGGAGTCCTTGGTGCCATCGGACAGTCGGTCGACTAGGGCCTCGACCTTGTCGATCTTGGACTCCGCTTCCTCTTGCGAGCTCTCTACCCCAACAAGTCTTTGTTGGCCATGGTAGAGTTCCTCCATGCTCGCTTCCAGAACATCCAGGCGGGTTTCCGCCGTCGTGAGTCTCTCCTTATGACTCTTTTTCCCAGTTAGCGCACCAGATTGCGCTTCCTCCGCTCGCGGAGAGTTGCCAACTTCTCGCTCATCCTGTTCGCTGCCGCGATCCTCATGAGCGGCTCCAACAACATGAGAGCGAGTGTGCACATGCAGCCCACCTGCGGCTGTTTGGGGCAAGGGTCCGGCTTGCCCCGTCTTGCTTGATTCGCCACGATGCTTTGCCATGGCGAAGTTGCGAAGTTCGTTCGCTGTTCGATCGAAGAGCTTGCCCGCTCTGATACCACAATGTCACGACCTTAGCTGGAATTGCCTAAAGCGTGCGGCACCCTTGCGGCTAAAGACGCGAACTTAGCTTGCGTTGCCTAAGTCGCGAGTCACCCGTGCGGCAAAGACGCGAACTTAGCTTGCCTTGCCTAAGTCGCGCTTCGCCCTTGCGATCTTGCTCCGCAAGGATCAGCCCACTTTGTAACCTCTCGCAGGTCTCGAAGGACCTGTAAAAGAGAAAGAGAGTTAGATCGAAAGTACGAGCAACGGACAAGTCCCGAAGTCTCGCGAAAAGGAAAGCTTTACAAGCAATTCGTCGAACACCTTGTGTGCACAAGAGAAAAGAGGGAGAGGGGGAAAAACAAGGCTTTCAAGGATGAACGAACAGCTGCAAGCCCACAAACAGCCGCTCACCTGGTCCCGGACGCAACACCAAGTTCCCGTAAAGGTCACGTGCGAACTTGCGAAAGAGTGTTCAACGCCCGGTATATAACCGAAGCCCCATCCAGCCATGTGCCACCCGGGGGGTTCCTGGGTGCTGAGATGGCTGACATTTTGGTGAGCGGAGGCAGAACTCCGCTCACCTCCCGCGGCACGCGAAAACGGAGCCGTTTTGGGCTGTTTTGCTTGGTTCGGTGAGCGATCGCTTTGCAACGCTGCAGCTTGTTCGAACTTACATATTTACAAGCAAAATGACCCAAAACCATGGGAAAACATGCTGTCAAGTAGCTGTACATGCGGGTGTGAGCGACGAACGGTTCGTTGAACGGAGTTGTTGCGGGTGCGCGACGATCGTTCGTGACATTCTCCCCCACTTAAACTGTTGACGCCCTCGTCGACGCTTGTTGGTAGTTGTTGATGACTTCTTCTTCATGTCGCAGGGCGTCTTCAGGCTCCCAACTGGCTTCAGTTCGGGGAAGCTTTCGCCACTTCACCAAGTACTCTGTCTGCTCCGCTCCGTTGGGTAGCTTTATCTTGCGATCCGCCAGAATGGTTTCCACTCGCTTCTCGTAGGAGGCTGTGATGGGAGGTAGCCGAGTTGGAACACTTCGAGAAGCATCTTGCGGATCTAAATGGTAGACCTTCAGGTTGCTGGCGTGAAGAACGTTGTGAATTTTGAACCACGCCGGTAGCTGCAACTTGTAAGAAACATTGCCTACCCTGCTGATAATTGGGAAAGGTCCTTCATACTTGCGCACCAATCCTTTGTGGACTCTTTTCCTGAAGAATTGGAGTGATGCTGGTTGGAGCTTCACCAACACCAAATCGCCAACTTTGAACTCTT